GTGCTGCAAAATATGAGCCCTTTCTTCACAACTGAGTAAGTGTTGGTATGTTGGGAAATTGTTAACTGACAAAATAACCTTGTTTTCCACCACTCTTCAGCATTTCTGACCATCAAATATAACAACAGGGAAGAGAAATGAAGATGGTCCATTTAATTTTGTGGCCCTGTTAAAAGACCATTAAAATAAGGAATTCTTATAGTATTAACAGTTGTGGAGGCACAATTTAAGTTTTAGACCAGGAGTTTCTCAGGAGAATCTGTTAGGCATGAATGAAAAGATTTGAGACTTACAAAGATTTTGTAAGGAGCAGCATTTGTGCAGCAGTGATTACCTAGCATTTAGGGGAAGTAAGGGTGGTCTAACAGCATGGGGGTAATAAAGAGCTGCAGCAAGCTCTTCTCCACACAGTGACACTGCAATAGAATCAGGTGGAGGAGCAGTGATTAACTTTTGAGATGTTCCTTCCGACAAATTAGAAATTCACGTAGCATTAAAGCTGAGGCAGTGACCACGTTTTGTTTTCACTGATAGCACAGAGTGGACAACTGACTGACTCTGTTGGGCACTTTGGATTGGTTGACTCGTCTCACTCAAAGCTCACCCTGAGCCTCCTTAAACTCCGATGAGTGATGTCTTTCTAAGTTATTTGTAGCCAATCATTACCACATCCATTGGTTCTATTGTCAAGGCCATCCAGGTAGTAATGGGAATATGCATGAACATTTTGCTTCTCTGTCTGTGGAAGTTACATTTCCATTGGTATTGCCATATTATCCTTGGCAAATCCGGGGACGAACAAAGGGGAACTATACACCAATGTCCTAGCACCATTGGTAGAACAGGAAGCAAGTACAAGTTGGCAGCATAGTGTCACAAGGCAGGCGGAGTCCCACTCTACCACTTAGCAATTAAAGGAAAATTGTGTGCCAGAAGGATTGCCTTCCCTACAAAATAAACACGCTGCTTGCTTTGCTGTGCCACTGTAGGGGCTAATTTGCTCAGTTGTCTGGATAGCTGGTTTATGATGCACAGTAAGACCAACACTGTGGTTTCAATAATCACACCAGCTGAGTTTACCATGAAGTATTCTCTTTCTCAGCCTCTCTCTCCTTACCTGAGATGTGGTGACCCTCAGGTTAAACCACCCCTAGTTTTCTCTCTCTAATGACAGAGCAGCCCTCTGATCTGATAGGATGTATGGTGACTTTTACTGTACTTCACCAGCACTTTTAGGGCCTTAATCAACTTCACTGCTTATACTAGGTCATTGTCGTAGGAATCATGCATTCTACAAATGGATTGAGAGACTGGTTTAACCTTATCGGAGTCAAATGGCTTGTAGATCATTATTACAAGGACATCAGATTTGTTTACCGCTTTCTCGTGTGTCCAAAAAAAAATGGTATTACTCACAGTGAGTCTTTTGGAACACAATCACATGCTCTCATGAATATTTCATTAAAAACAGGAAACAATGTTTTTTTCTCATTTTTATTTTTAACGGAAGCCCATATTTTGCTGCTCAGTATAGGACATAGCCAAACCTTTCATATCTACCAATGTAGAAGGCTGAGGGTGAGAATGGAAACCAGAGACTGGTGGAGTTCCATCAGGTTCAGTGTTGGGACCACAACTATTCACGTCACACATTAATGATCTGGATGAAGGAGCTGAGCCGTTGTTACTAAGTTTGCAGATGACACAAAGATCGATGGAGAGACAGGTAGTGTTGAGGAAGCAAGGAAGCTGTGGAAGGGTTTGGACAGGGTAGGAGAGTGAGCACAGAAGTGGCATATGGAATATAATGTAGGAAGGTGTGAGGTTCTGTACTTTGGTCGAAAGAATAGAGGCACATTTTTCTAAATGGGGACAAGCTTTGGAAATCTGAAGCACAAAGGGACTTGGGAGTGCAAGATCAGGATTTTCTTAAGGTTAACACAAAGGTTCATTTGGCAGTTAGGAAGGCAAATGCAATGTTAGCATTTATTTCAAGAGGTAGAGAATACAAGAGCAGGGACGTACTGCTGGGGCCAAATAAGGCTATGGTCAGACCACATTTGGAATATTGTGAGAAGTTTTGGGCCCAGTATTTAAGAAAGAATGTGCTAGCCTTGGAGGGGCTCCAGAGGAGGTTTAAAAGAATGATCCCGGGAATGAAGGACTTGTCATACGAGGAACAGTTGAAGACTCTGTATCTGTATTCAGTGGAAATAACAAGTGTGAGGGGGAGTCTCAATGAAACTTACAGAATACTTAAAGACCTCGAGAGGGTGGACATGGAGAAGATGTTTCCACTTGTAGGCGAACAGGACTCAGGGGCAGAATCTAAAGGGTCAACCCTTTAGAACTGAGATGAGGAGGAATTTCTATGGAAATTATTGCCACAGAAGGCTGTGGAGGCCAAGTCATTGAGTGTATTTAAGACAAAGATTGACAGGTTCTTGATTAGTAAGGATCAAAGGTTATGAGAGAAGGCAAAAGAATGAAGTTGAGAAACACATCAGGCATGATCAAATGGATGTAAAGACTCGATAGTCAAATGGCCCAATTCTGCAAATATATCCTATGGTCAATTGCTTAAGCTATAAATTAACATAATGCAGTTGAAGCCTTCTTAAAAAATCAAACCACTGAAAGGTTTTTCAAAAAAGGATATTTATAAAACAGAACCTCTTTTATTTACATCCCCTATGCTAAATTTTTCAGAGATTTCATAATGCAAGTTCTTCCTTTTTTCTTTCTTAAAGTCTTTACATTAACGCTCAAATCACTGACGGTAATGCATGCAGGATCTCTTGTGCTGGTTGATTATTTTAAGTAGCCCCTTGGTCTAGAAAAATGATTAAGATTTTATATGTTTCAATCGCACAAAGGAATTTTGAGTGATTTATTTAGAGATTCTGTAAATTCCTTGTAGATGTAGCTGAGTCACCAATGACCAGAATACTTTTAAAGGAAAATTATTATTATTTAAATTCAAGTTTGATTCACTTTTGAGATACAGAAAAGACCTTAATGCTTAGAACCAACTTAATTGCTACTTATTCGGCACACCAATATTCACCCTTGATATCATATGGTATTCAGTTGCTTCAATGATATATTCACATAAAAAAGACATGAGCACATTCTGGGAACATTACACATTTTGTAATAAGTATGTCACCTGGGTTTGATTCAAGTTGCTTTGAAATAAAACAACTGTATGGTACAAGATGTTATTTTTGATCCACATTTGACATTTTCCTTCCATTTCATGTGAACTGCATTGTTGCAGTCACAAAATGCTACTGCTTTGTGATCAATGTGGCTTTTGAAAAAAAGAGAAAACAAATGTAATAAATAAATTTCTGGTGAAGCAATATAACCCTCAGCATTTCACAACATGGCATGATGAATTTGGAAAATATTTTTGACTTTTAATTCAATTGTTTCATTACACACTTTTCTGTCTGACACTATTTATTTAGTTAGAATGATGGAATTGACTGGATCATTAGTAAACATTATAGGACTTTGTTTTTGGCTACAGTGGAGGGAGGGTGTGGACTGGTTCACCCATTTTCTGTTATTCCCAAGATAGAAGATTGCAGTTTAGTGAAAACACTTAAACAATTACAGTCAGGGAATTTGAGATTGAGTTTCAGTGAACATTTGAGGTTTGAATTTAAATCACTTGATTAAGAGCCAAAAATACTCATAAATAAGAGACCTGAATCAATTGGTCAGAGAACATGAGTTACAATTCCATCAAGAACTTTGAGAATTTAAATGTAAATCTTAAAAATTCAGAAGTTAAATTTTGAAACCACAAAAGCTGATCGTAAAGTCATCAGATTTGGTCACTCGTACCGTTTAGAGGTAATAAAAACCTGTTAATGCTTACTTGATGTGACATTCATCTGACTTTAATCCCACACAAATATGGTTGACCCTTAAGCTCCTCCAGAAAGGGTCAACAAACGAAAAGAAACAGAATGGAGAATTTGCCTGTGCTTTAGGGATTGAAATGGTGCATGACAGAATCCTCTTCAACTAACACCTGGAAACTGGTGCCATTGTTGGCAGACCTGTTTTATCAGTCACACAGCAGCCTGGTACAGTCGTACTTATACATTTATACTTAACTGCCAGCATTTTCCGTGACCATCCTTGAGTATATACTGTCCCACCATTGGAATACACTTAGTTGGAGCTGGAAACAGCTCTGAGAGTCTTTATCATTGATCATAATCTCATTGAATTCTCATGGCTTCAGAATTAGCACTACAATCACTGACTTCCAGCCACTCCATTCTTGTTCTTAACATGAACATGGAAGTATATTCAAGTCAGTGATAGACACATTTTTAATCAGTAAGGAAATTGAGGGCTATGGGGAAAAGGCGGGAAAGTGGAATTGAAGGTTATCTGGCCAGCTATCATCTTATTATACGTTGGAGCAAACTAAATTAGCTAACTGGCCTACTTCCGCTCCTACATCGTGTGATCTTGAAAGTACATGTTCAGATGTGTGCTTAACATTGCAATGACAAATCTCAAGCAGTGAACAATTTCCTTCTTGTTCGGGCTCAAAACACTATTTCCTAATTTGAGATAATGTGAAGGCTAGCTTTCAATACAACTAACATTGGTTACCTGGAGATGTCTAGTTATAAGTAAAACAGGTGAGAGACATGAGGTTGACAAGATTTATTTAGAACTTTACACAACTATCACTGTTTCTAGTTATTAATGTGTGTTCTGATGTCAGCAGTGGAGATTTCAGTTGACTGCTGTGCTATTCTTACTATTTACTATTTTGGCTGTTTTTTAATATGTGTTACAGTTTTCTAACAGTTTTCAGTGTTAGATAATGCTGATCTTATTTAAAAAATCATTTAATAATTTGGAACTTTGAGGAAGCTCTTGCATACCTATGAGATTGTGCAGGTAGTTAGGCAATGAAGATAATAACTGTAAAGCACAGTTTTCACACTTTTTTTATTGACTTTCAGGTCTCCTGACAAATGCATCAACAAAGAATCCTTGCAGGAGCAGCTTAGAACTCTGTGTGAGCTACTTATATGAATCAAATTCTACTGCTGCGGACTACCATCTGTTGTATGTTATTTCCTCAACTCTTTCTTTCTCTACACTGGTGAAAACAACATATTCTCACCTAACTCTTGAGCTAAAGTTTCACTTATTCTGTTATTAGGACAACTGGGGCAGTAAATGTAGAATACTGAGCTATGCTTGGACAGAAGCAATATTGACAATGTTTGACCCTTCTCGTCACTACTTTTCAACTAATGTTGGATTGCTGTTATCCAGTTGATGTTTCCGCTCAGAAAGCCTGTTACAGAAGACTGAATTGATTTTATCAGCCCCTAACAGGCAGTGAATCTTTGCCTCAGGTGGGACACTAAAGAGTTACCGAAGGCTCCATAGTAAAGACACTGTGCTATTATTTGTGTAACTCTCTCTGACATCTATACATCTATTTCCTCATCTTTACCTGTTCGCAAAACAATAGACCAAAGAACAAAAGGAGAACGTTAAAATGGACACTATTTCATTGTGAATGAGCTTTACTGATTTCAATTGTAATGGGCTCCTGAAGGATTTGATTTCAGCTTTTCATAGTGCTGAAATAAATCATTACTGGCTCAGGTAGAGTCTTTGTTGAAAAAAATAGAGGGACTCCTGATTTTGGGAAAGCTGATCTGATGTAAGATGTCTAAAGGTTCTATTGGAGCATGGAAACAGAATAATAGTCTATGTCCCGTCACAAAAGAGACACATATGAACACTCACGCTGGGAGGACATCTTAGTCTCCTGTTTAGTTTGGCTGACTTCTTTCTCATTCTTAAGTCACATTGTATTTCAACCAGAAAAAAAAAGAACTAAATGTGAAACATTTGCAGCTCGTGTTTCCTTTCCCAGCATAAAAGTAGCTACGGTCAAACAGCATTCGCAATGAGCATGTCTGGCTACCTGCAGCCTGTGTCACAATTCAATCAACCATCTACCAACACACACACACACACACACATCAAATTAGCTGAGAAAGTAACATTTGTTGAAAACAGGATCATTAAATGTATTTTGAGAAACCTAAAGTTATATATTTAACAGTTTTTATATGTTGTATCTTTGTAGAAAATCTTATTTAACAAATAATGTGGTCATACTATGCCAGCCACGAAAGTGGTCAAGAGTTGTGTTTTAACTTCTGGTATCTGTCAAAGAGATGATTGGTGTATGTTTCTTTCCTTGGAGCATTCTGGATCTGAAAACTGGCCACAAAGAACTCTGTAGAAAAAAAATGCTGTTTATACATCAATCCATTCAACCATTGCACTGTAGGAAGACAGTTTATTTCTTTTATGTAATGGTATAATAGAGTGGAAAACATTTTAAACTTTTGATATCAATACCTTGTTTTTATTTTCCCCTTTCTATTTATTTTCTTGTTGTCGTCTACTACTAAATGGAATAATTGAGATTATCTGGATTTATACAATGAAGGATTTCACTGGAGTCTTATTACAAAGTAATAGTTAAAGACCAATTGTTATCCTGTTGCCACAGACAAATACCTATTTTCCCTGAAATGTTTAACAGGAGACTTCCTTTCTGAAGCTAAATGTGAGCTGCTATGTGACAAGGACTAAACATCCAAGGGCTGTATATTGTTGGTTCAGTTCCACATGACAATATTCTCTTGCAACCATCTTTAGTTGTGATCCCTGATTTGAAAGTTCATCCATTGTGTTCATTCCAGTGCTGTCAAAGGATGACAGTGTCACTCACAGTTACTTTTGTAGACCACAGAAGCACATACTATTAGCTTGCTTGTTCTTTTACACTTTTAGCAGGTTTCTTTAAATCCTTATCTTATGATCTTCAATGAAATAGTTTGTTTTTCGCCTTGTTTTTAATGCAGGGAACAAAAAAAATCTGAACATGAAACCAAAGCTCAAATTTTCAAGCACTCTTCTTTCTCCTTGACCTAACAAGGAAAGAATATGGAGAGATCTGTTTAGGAGCTCGTGACTGTGATTTCACTAGATGTGTGACTGTGAGTTTGCAGTCAGTAAGATGATCATTCAGACAGTTGGAGTAATCTTTCTGGAGCAGTAAGTCTAAGTTGACTGTGCTGTGAAAGATGGACCTCCCCTAAAGCTAACTTTGCCCTGGATGTTTTTGCATGTTTTGTGATAAAATCACTCTCCGTGCAACCTCGTAATCTAATTTGTTTTTTCTTATGTGTGGCTAGAGTAAAATAAATAAGGTCTGAGCAGAAGTAATGAATGAGGCAAAATGCACTCTGAAAATGAATATCCATTTAGATCTGAGAAATCTATTTAATCCTATCAATGAATACATAACCCCTCCTTCCTCCAATACTTATGGACATCTCCCTAGACATGTATAACATGCTCCTGCCTAGGCATTTGTGTATTTTTATTATAATTAGACATTTTAAATTAAACCCACTCTTTTGCATTACACTATGCTTCATGCAATACTTCTCTTCATGAACATGCTCTATGTTAACTCTGAGTTGTCTCGGTGGGAAACACTTTGGAAGAATATGGGTACAAGCTGCTACCAGGCAATTTTTTGACTTCTGAAACTTATACATGAGTTCAGAGGAAGGCTTGAGTTTTAACCTCAGGAGAACTTGGGTTTTGCTCTCCTGGCAGTCAGTTCATCTTTAAACCATCATGTACCTCTATGGCACAATATTCCCCTCCCTGGGGTCTGTGAGGAAGGTTGCGAGAAGAGCGAATAATTGGACGAATTGACCCTGGAGAAGTGCTCGATGCCTTCTCACAATCTTAGCAAGGGGCTGCAGTCTGAAAATTGAGCTGGACCATTCAGGAGGGATGTTAGGAAGCACTTCTACACACACAGGTAGGTGTTTGGAACACAAATGGCAGTGGATGTAGGATCAGTTGTCAATTTAAATGTGAGATAGATAAAGGTTTGTTAAACAAAGGTGTTAAGGGATATCGGCCAAAGGCAGGTACATGGAGTTAGGCCACAGACCAGCCATGACCTCATTGAATAGTGGAACAGGATCAAGGGGCTGCATGACCTTCTCCTGTTCCTACTTAAGCGCTTGATGAAGAAGTCCACTCCAGACATTAACTCATCACCATCCCGCGTACCTGTGATAATCTTCACAGCAGGAGGAGTCGTGTGGCATAGTGTGGTGTGCCTACCTCTGGTCTACAACTCCCACCTTCTCTAGAGGTATGCCTTAACAAGTCTGAACAAACTGATTAAAAATAGTTTCCTTCAAGGCAAAAAATGGAAGAGCAGTGGCAGACTGCCTCCATAAGCACCAACCTAGGGCAGAAATAGGCGACTAGGATTGGCCATTGAAAGCTGCTGCCCTCCCCTTGCCTCTAACTCCTCTTTCCCCGTGACCCCAACACCCACAAGACTCAAAAGAAAAGCATATATTCTCGCCTGCGACGGTCTGTCGGACTCATCCCAGCAACCATTGCCTTCTGACAATGCGGAATTTCAGTATCGAAACACGTAATTCGACAAGAAGCTGATTGGAGCTTGATCCAGTGAGTTTTCTCATTCATGAACCTAGAAAATCAGTACACTTGGGATGCAAATTGGAAAATCTTGGCGTATGTATTTCAAAAGCATTTCCTTTCCTGAACAATTTACAGAATCCTATCACGTAAAATAATAAAATACTGCTGTTCAGTAATTGCATAGCATTATTGTTCTAATTCTTGTGCCCAAATAAATTGTAATTTTCACTTTACATCATTGTGAATTACAGGTAATTGCCTGCAATTAAATACAGCATTTTGTATGTTTAAATTACTCAGTATTTCAGGTAATCTATACTGAGCACACGATATATATCGCTGGAAAGGAGAGGCTAAATTGGAAATAGTTTGCAAGTTGTTGAAGGTATAATTTTCTTCAAACTCGTGTCTTTTTAAAATACATAGCGCTTGGGCAAAATAAAAGATTTTCTCTTCATTTAGAAATCACTGTGAACTTTGATTTTTAATGGTTTAAGATTTTTACTTTTAAAGGAATCTCTAAATCCCATGGATGAAACACTGTCTTCCAGACTATTACTGAATAAATGGAACTCTTCAGTCACTGATAATTAATATTATACCATATCAACTGATTTTCCAGGATTTCTGTGCTTTTCTGATGAATTGATGGGGGTTGCTTGGATTTTACATGAAAGAAACTTCTTCCCTGTATCTCAGGCTATTGGCTTTCCAAATCTTTTAACCTGTCGCAAAACCACAGGATGGCCAGGAATGGTACTTCTATCTGGAAAGATATGTATCATATGATCAAATTGTTTAGTGAACCATTCAAAGGTGTTTTGTTATTCTTATCATTCCTAACATCTCTTTCACATACTTTCACCAGCTTGAACATTGGGCCTCTTGTCCAACTGGCTTAGCCGAAGCATGGATCTATGGTTTTTCACAATGTACTTAATATTTCACATACAATTCCCATTATATCTCATATGAGTGTGGAATGGTGAAAATGCTAGAAGCACTTATTTCAGGCTAAAATAATTTAAGTACTTTTCCTTTTATTTGTAAAACCATTTATAAAATTCAAGGTATTACTCAAACTACCAAAGAGCATAATAAATGGCCATAAAAATTCTAAATACAACTTTTCCTTGTCAAGCCTTAAACTTTCAGTTCCAGCTGTCAAATATGTCTACAATGCCCAGCAATTACTTTCAGCTTCATTTGTGAGAGTAGGCTTAGTTTTGTTAAGTTTTCTTCCTTCTGACATATTCTAACTGCAAAAACTCGAGAACTGTGAGCTCACCACCTCCTCTGAAATATTCTTTTCCCTTTGAAAGAATCACCAATCAGTTTAGTTAAATTGAAGACTAAGCTAACAATCCATTTTTGCTTTGTTCTGGTAGCACATATGAACATATATCCTTGGGATTGCAATATAATATCACAAGGTCTGACTTGGAGGCAATCGTACAATGCAACATTTGAACTTAGAGCAGGATTTTATGTCTAAACTGTTTATCCTTTGCAGTTTTTCAATTTCATATTAAACTTGGCGCCTTGAAGGACAAGCCTTTTTATAGTGCTTCTTCACACAATCATGATTGTTACAGAGCAGAAGCAGATAATTTCAACTATCAAATATATGCACATGTTTTTCTTTAGATCAGCAAAGGGAAATTGTAGCCTCTTGCAGAGCAGTGGATGCAACCAGTTAAGTTATGTTTTGATTGAGCCCTTTTAAAAATAATCACAGGTAAACAACTGTAATTGCCACTTCCATGGTGATCAAAATGGGACAAAAGAGTACTAGACATTCTCAATATGAATTCCTCAGACTCCTTAATGCTAAACTTGCTGAAATGCTGTCTCAAAATCACAGGCAGACATTCTCATCTCACTTCTGTATTTGGATTTTTGAGTAATATTTGGAGCAAGGCTATAATGAGTCTGGAGCTACATGGCCTTCTAGGAGCAAAAGGGAGCATTGGTGAGCAGGTTCTTGGTGGTAAGTGCCATTTGACAACACAGTTGATAATGTATTTAAATATTTTATTGATGACTAAGAGGAGACTGATAAGGTGGTAATTTGTCAAATCTGATTTGTTCTGTTTTATGTGGATGGGATCTAGTTGGGCAGTTTTGCACTTTGTTAGGTAGATACTACTGTTGTAGCTACTGGAACAACTTGGCTAGAGGCATAGCTAGTTCAAAGCACAAGGTTTCAATGCTTTGTCAATTACATATTACTTCTTTTGCCAGATGCTTTATTGATAACACAGAAGTAGAGTCACAGTCTGTCATTTTTACATTAGATTTTGGTAGCCATCCCATTTATTTAGGTCAGAAACTGCAGAATGTTTAAGTCCTGAACTGTGATCAATATCTTCTTCATGTCTTCTTTTGAGCACCCTCCACTTTAAAACGTTTTAATTTGGCCCCTAGTTTTCTTTGGCCTGGATCCCTGTGTCTTTTCACTTAGTTAAGAAATCTTTAAGAGACATTTTGTCAAAGTATTTGTGAAAGTACAAATAAACCAGATCATTGCATTGCTATTGTGTGTATTTGTACTGTCACTGAAGAGAGTGGTCAGATTTTCCCTTTGTAAAGCCCATAACAACAGCTTTTTATGATGTGATTGTTACACAGTTACAGGTATTCCATTTAAGAACATTGCTAAAGGTTCCAGGTGCTGCAGTGCTGTTTCAAATGTTCGTTGACAACTTTACAGCGAAATTGTCAGCAGTCATTCCTATTTGCCCCAATTGGGACTCAGTGATTTCTGTTCCCATCCATTTCAATTCATAGCCATACATCCAAACAAGTACATACCAGCAGTATTTATTTTATGAAGAGATTTGGAAGGAGAAGTATTGCC